GTGCGCCGCCGGGCCGGCCCCCAGTCTGGAGTTTTCTGACAGAAGCCTCACGTCTCTCTACACCTACAGCTCCTGGCAGCTGTCCCCTCCTCAGGAGCTCCAGCCACTGCTGGGGCAGTAAGGACTTTCCGCTGTTGCTGACCTCTCGGTGCCTTAGAGCCGCTCGCAGCCCTGCAAGCAGTCCCCGCAGCCTCCTGAACCATCTGGGTTGGATTCCGCTTCCTGCAGGGACTCCAACTAGTAAGTCCATAATAAGGAAGCCTTTATAGAACAGTGATGTCCTGATTTGCTAATCACTGACAGATGTTAATGCTAGCATTTCATTGGTATGAATAGAAAATGATATGACTACATTTTTAAATTAATGGCTTGGAATTTAAATGAGTACCTCCAAATTTTACTGTCTCCTCAAAGTCGACACCTTAGGATGCTTTAATGCCAACATTGTAGAATAACGGCCAACATGTTAAACTATTCTGATGGTGCCTTTTAAGATTTCCTTCAGTGTCCATAGCACATTATTTTGAATAATGCTGGAAAATGGTCCTCAGATTTCATTCAGTTCAACAGGCAATATCACACTACACATAGGAAAATGGCAATAGTTTCATTATTATGTTTATATGCAAATTTCACTAGTTGTTCTCAAAATGTCTTTTATAGTTTGCTTGCTTTTTTTTAAGCCAGGATCCAATCAAGGTTCATGAATTGCTTTTGGATGTCTCTTTAAGTGTCTTTAGGGGTGCAGAGATGTGACCTTGTGTAACTCTGCGATTTGGCAGCATGTGATGTGACCCCATAAACATACTAATGGACTCAAACGGAACCTCAGTAAGCGCTAAGGGTGTTCTTGGCATTGCAAAGGAATGGCAGGAGCTGAGTCAGTCACTGGTAAGGGCCATTCAATTGGTGCGAGTGGTCAGCACTTTCCTTTTTCATGTTAGGACACACACAGAGAATAATGATATATTCTCATAGCATGCGGGGGTAACAGGGGGCTCTCTGGGGCTAGAGTTGACTTGTCTGGGGCTCCAACTGACTTGTCCCTGTTCCAAGGGCTGGGGGTATCTACATTTGTAGTACGCCTTGGACTTTTGGGACCAAAAGTAGGTTTCTAAGTTTCTCTGTGTCCTGGGGTGTTCTTATCTCTGATCCCCATCACTTGAGGTAACCTGGTGTGCTTCTTTGTTGAAAAAGCCTAGGCCAGAGTCTTGTCCTGTCCCCTTTCAGCAGTCACATGTACCCATTAACCTAGAAAAACAAAGACAATGGTGGCCTTTTTCCATGTGATTTATTCACATTCAATTAGCTACATGAGGGGGCTAAACAAATGACAGGAGCTTTTGGGGGAGGCTTGGGGTATAGATGGAAGGGGGGGATTTAAACAAAATAATTTTACACATGGTTAAATAGATTTACAAATATACATTTTAAAAAAGTATCTTCTAAGGATAACAGAGAAAGATACAATCATCACGAATAAAATAAATTAGCCACTTCTGATCACTGCATTCCTCAAAATCAAAGTTTCCGAAAATGATTTGCATTTTAGATTGTCATGATTTGCAGATATTTACATGATGCAGATTTCCAACACAGAAAAATAAAGACTAACACTGAGTAACAGATTAATACAATACAGAGAAAAATTGAACACATGAAAATAATCATCTGGTAGCAAAAATAGATTTATGCCAATGTTAATATCAAAATTAAAGACATTCAAATTAATTATGACAATGCATTGGAACCACTGTTCCTAAGATCACAAAAATGACTTCTTATTGCTCCTACTCATAACTAAAAGGTCCAAGGAGAGTCTATGATGGCTAGAAGGCATAATATAACTTCTAGTATATGTAGTAGGCCTATGTCAAGGTTCAACAGTGAAATAAAAACCTTATTATTTTTCTTTTAGACTTGACATCTTTAACAGTAGAACAAGATCACTCATCATAAATCTGGGAAACACAGATGGACAGTGCTCGAAACCCAAGCAAATGATGTAGTGGAAGTAATTAAAAGCCGAGTATGAGAAAAGCAGAAGCCCAAACAAAGTAAACATTAACAAAAAATCAGTTTGTATAGTTTTCTGCCCCAGAGAGTCCTGCAGGAGGCCCATAAGTGTTCTGGGTACTTGTTAAGATAACTGGGCTGTGTCCTAAAGTGAACTTCCAGCTGTTTAGTGAGTGCCAGAACCAGCCTGGCTTCCGGGAAGGGAACTGTATGGAGCAGGTGCACTGAGCTTTTACCATTACATCTGACACAGGGAATAGAGTGTTCTGGGTACTTGTTAAGATAACTGGGCTGTGTCCTAAAGTGAACTTCCAGCTGTTTAGTGAGTGCCAGAACCAGCCTGGCTTCCTGGAAGGGAACTGTATGGAGCAGGTGCACTGAGCTTTTACCATTACATCTGACACAGGGAATACCAGCCTAAGGGTACTTTGGGGCCTGGGGAGGGACTGATCCGCTCCCGGCTACACTGGAGACAGTTGACTCATTCCTGAATGGACTGCCTGCAGTTTGGGGTTGTCAAAAGCAGCAAAAGGAGCCTCTGAAGTGCAGTGCAGTCGCCTGCACAAAGCCCCACTGCCAAGAAAGTCTGTGTGACTCACCATAAATTTGGGGCAGAATAATTAGAAATAAAACTGAGGTTAAAACACATGTCTCAAATGGTGCAGTGATTAGCATTATTTAATCGGAAGAGTCAAAGTCCAGAAAATCAAATTCTACCTTAATTCTTCCCATATAATGCAATGTTTCTGTTTTCCTCATCTTAAAAATATAAAATGTCCTAGAGATACAAAGTTAGTGGAAAGGTGCTTTTGAGAAAAGGGACAGAAGGAAAAAAGAAGCTATTTCCCCTCAAGATAGTTTTAAGATTACAATATCAGGATGCATCGCCAAGCTGTTTAAATTTCAAAAGTCTTTTATAGATGCTGGTACTGACTAGGAGATTTTTTAATTTGCATATAGTTCTGTATCATATTTTAATTCATTCCCACTTCTCATCTCAAATAAGATGACTATAAAGGTGATAATTGGCCCAGTTGTCCCTGTGATTCTAAAATAAAGCGTAAGGACTGGCCGGTTAGCTCAGTTGGTTAGAGTGTGGTCCCTATACTGGCCAGCCGCCAATAAAATGAGATCAATTAAAATAACAACACTGGGACAATTAAAGAATTTCCAGAAACTGCATGACAAAGCTACATCCGTTCAGGCCCTGTGTTTCACTTCTATTGTTTTTTTCCTCTCAAGGCTGGAGCAGGCCTATTTAACAGCCAATATTACTAAAATTTTACATTTACCCTCACACTGTGAAAACTAGATTTGTTTTCCCCTTGAGTACCCTTAAATCTACAGCCTGCTTCCTCAAGTCTGTGAGCAGAATTTGGATAAATGCTTGAAAAGAACAAAGCACACGCCAAAGAATTTGATCGTGTCATTCAACTGCTTAGAAATGGAAAGGATATTCACACTGTGCTCATTTTGATGTCTCGATAAAATGGAATAAATGAATCCAATGTTTAATGAGTTGTTTTATTTATTTTTTAATTTAATTTTATTTTGTCAGTATACAATGTGGTTGATTATTGTGGCCCATTACCGAAAAAATAAGTTGTCTTAAAATGCCAGCCACTGGCAGATTCCAAAAGGCTACTGATCCACTTTAGATAACTCTCCATTTGGAAAATGTAATACTGTCCAACTGCTTATTGGCTGTGATGCTGAAAAATCACATGTTCTTTTCCCACTATTTATTTTATTCTTCATTCATGGCATTCTACAAGCTCTGAAATTCTTCAAAGATCTAAAAATCCAACATAATTGGATTTTCTGGAGAATTCTTTTTATTATATCATTATACTAGATATTCCATAGGATTGTTATGGACATTAGAATAAAAGACTTAACAATTCGGCTTTGGTTTTAATGTAATTTTGTCAGAAGTTGGAATTGCTTTGATAATGCAATTCAACTACTGCACATATTATAGTCATTTGAAATAAATAACACATTTAAAAAGGCAAAGTTTCCCCGCTTTCAATAGCCATAATCTGTGTTATTCGAGACTGCTGCAAAATTCACAGAAGAGTGATATGAATAAGAAAGTGTAGGGAAGGGGCAGGGACACTGGCAGCTTTATCAGAACACGACAGAAAGAAGAACATCAGTTCTCTACATTTGTCTATAAGGCAGATGGTCAAACTTTTTATACAAGATCTAAAATACGGTGCTTATTAAGAGGTAGAAAATATCAAAACAGTATTTAAGAAAGACAAGTTGAGTATTTAAAACAATCAGTTACTTTGCTAAACTTTCAGAAAGTCAAAGTGCTGTGTGGAACGCACCATACGTTTTACACTAAACTGGGACTTCCACACTCAACAGAGATGTGGTCAAACGGGAGGGGTCAAAAGCTGGGGCTGGGGCAGGGAGCAGGAAACCATTCTTCAACTTGCCAAGGATTCAGCTCTCACTAAGGAGAAGCTTCCTACTGCCCCTCTGGGATGCCATTGGACATTTAATTATTGGGGATTTCTCTGATTAATGACAGTTTCTCTGAGCAAGAGAGTACAATCTTGCACATAAGGCAACAGAACTATACAGAGGAACAAGCTCAAATGCCTCCTCTTCGCGAAGGTGCCATACCCATCTCCTATAAACACATGCATTCCACTAATCCTATACCATCCCCCCTAACTGCTAAAATGCAAATGAAAATATTCTTCAGACTCTAGCACCAGCAGAGCTGTTCTGTACAAGCAATTCAAGAGCTGTCTGAGGCAAAAAGATCTCTCAGCTACCAAATTAAACTTGGGTAGCTCACACATGGGCAAGTAACCCTGGGTATTACTTTTAATTTCTTAATGCACCTGGGAGAGGTTGATTCTTTTTTTTTCTCCAACTTAATTTTATAAGGCATAAATTTGATTTGAATTTTCCCTAACCTTTGGAAAATTAGTGTTAAAGCTTCTTTTTTAACCCACACATTAACATTCAATCTTTCATTTTTATTAAATAGCTTATATATAAAAAGAAATAACAAGGTGTTCTACTACATTCATATAAACAATCATGATAGCATTTGAAGTTGTAAATAAACCCACTGAAGAAAATATATACTTAAATTCTTACAATGCTAAGTAAGCTAAGTACAAGTGATCATCCTAGGTAACATCTTTTAAATATATAGACACGGGTTATGCTGCTTCGGGAAGCAAACGTGACGTACACTAACGTATCTGTCTTCTTTACTTGTTCACCACAAGATGGGATGGTCCAGTTTGGAAAAACCAAGATCTGTTCTAAGTTCCAAATAGGTGCCGTTGCTCACCCAAGAGTCATCACTGGATTTCCTGTGAAAGATGAAATAATTTCTTCCAGACTTTTGAAAATATTGCCATATTCTGCCAACCCCCTGCCCCCATCCTTTTCACATGCATTCAATGTCCCTGACAGTCCAGTATTGGAACAGGGAAGGGGAAGCCTGGAAACCATTTTGTTACTTTTGACTTTAACTTCTCAGACCTAGAGCTGTGGAAAGTGGGGCTTTTGAGAGAAGAATGGGTGGGGTAGGGTATACAGTGCTTGCTGTATATACAACACAGCTGGGGTAGTCACCACCTCGGGAGTGACTGTGTACAAGCTACACATCAATCAGCTGTTCATGGAAAGTGATAAGTTAACATCAAAAAAAAAAAAAAAAAAAGATTAGAAGTCATCACAGTCTGCAGAGAAGTCTTGGTTTACTATGCTCTGAATAGATAACGCATTACATAGATCAAAATTCGAAAGGCACAAAAGGGTATGTGGCTAGAAGTTTTCTTTCTACTCCTTTCTCCTGGCCTCAGGGTCCTTCTCCTCAGAGGCAGTGATGGTACCAGCTTCATTCTTTCAGAGAAATTACACGCATGTGTGTGTGTGCCTGCACTCACGCCTCCACCCTCTCCCATCTTTACACAATGGTAGTGCTAGACATTGTCTCACCCCTTGAGTTTTTGACATAACAATGTCTGATGGAGATCATTTCCCATTAGCACAGTAAGGCAGGGGTCAGCAAACTACGCACAGCCCAAGGATCAAATTCCACCTTCTGCCTATCTTTGAAATACTGTTTATTGGAACACAGCCATGCCCATTTACTTAAATGTTGTCTGTGGTTGCTTTCATTCTGAGTAGCTGGGTTAAAGAATCGCTACTGAGACCTTAGGGCCTGCAAAGCCAACAATATTTACCATTTGTGGTTTACAGGAAAAGAAAAAGTTTGGTGACTCAGCAATAAGGGATTCCTCTTTTTCTTACTAAACAGTCTCATGACACTCCATTGTATGGACAGACCACAATTTATCCTAATGGTGTCCTCCTGATGCGCCAGCAGTGCTTTCAACTCGAGCTATTATAAACAAAGCATATATTATTTAGTATGTGCGTGATTATAGTTACATTAAAAATTCCTGTAATTAGCACTGTTGGGTCAAAGAATACATGCATTTGTCATTTGGACTGACTCTGCCATGTTTTAGTAGCAAAAGTAGAAGGCCTGTTTCCCCACTCTCTCAGGAATGTGGATTTTTATTACACTTGTTTCCCTATTCCCATAAAGGGATGTGTTTAAAATGAGCCGATTTGTGTATCAGATAGTTTGCTATAAAACAAACAGGCCTGACGTGGCCTGACCTGCAGCTACCACTTAGGGTTTCCAGTGGCACTCTGCCGTCCCTCAGCAAGTGGCAATGGTAACACGCACGTCTCCACACTCCTCTGACATCTCGTTGTCAGGTCTCTCATTTGAACAGCCCCAAGCAAGACTGCTACTATGGAAAACCCTCAGTCTTTCCTCCCGATTTTTATTTCCCCACTGATACTTTGATAATTCTGTAGACAATGAAATGGAAAAGGAGTGATGACCACCCCAGCTACATCAGCTTCAAGCCTTTTCCATTCCAGACACAATTCTTACATGATTGTACATAACACTCTTCGCCTTGCATTTAAGTGTTAATTCGTTTCCTATATATCTCCACAGACTTTGCGAGGTCATTCTCAATGTTTTTGGATTAGATCAAGTTGATGAATCTCCTTAACTAGTACTTGAGAGAGCTTGGTTGCCCACAATTTTTAATGACCCTAAAAAATACTGTAATGAACATCTTTTTAAATGTTCATTTTTTAAATGTTTAAATGTAGTTATGACAATTTCAGGATGAAATTCTGGCCAGTTGATCTTCAATCACTAATATTCCAAGTTCGTGGAAATGATCAGAAGGGATCTGGTAGAATCTACACCAACTTTAGGAAAAAGAGCATTATATTTTAGAGATAAAACATTATTTGTTGCTATATTGATGACTTGGAGAACATATTTTGATAGAATGACAGCTATATCCTCTTAAAATACTTCTGCTGTCCATTAAAAAAAAGAAAAACAACACCCCCAAACAACCAGAACCAGTGGTTGCCCTGAAAGCAGGACTGAAGTAGAGGAAGTAGGACAGGAGATTGCTGCTTTCCTACATATGCCTGCTATGACTTTGATTTCTAAAAAAAATAACAAACGAAAAAACTACACCCATATAGAGCCCTGACCTGGTAGTCAGGAGAGACAGGCCTGGCCCAGGACGTTCCACTGGGTCCTTCAACAAATCTCCTACAAGGGTACTTCAATAAGTTCATGGAGAAATAGAATTAAAAGATATGAATCTCTCCATGAACTTTTTGAAGCACCCTTGTATGTTTCCTAGGTCTTAGTTTCTTCTTGGTTAGTTAAAATAAAAGAGGGGAGGAGAGAGGTGAAGGGCTAATGACTTGTCATGACTCTTCTAAAAATTTTACTCTACTTTTAACAAGACCTTCTTAGCAAGTTATTTTACTATTATTTAACAGTAAATATTCCAAATCTAAGCCCAAGTGTATTGGAACTTCTGCAATTCAAGAATTAGACTACTTGGAATGTCCATTTTGGTAAGCAGTGGGGGATCATTAATCATCTCTGTCACTGTGTGAAATACATCTACCTGGGTGACCAGCCTTAGCCATGAATTTAATAAGCTGGTCTGGAACTGGGACTCGGCTCTGGCAATCTCCCTTGCTTCTCCACAGGCATTTGCTGAGCACCCCCTCTGCAAGCTCTTTGTGCCAGGCCCTCTCAAGGGATGCAGGAAAGAAGACACCACTCCTGCCAAGGACATTGAAAGGCAGAGCCCCGGGGAAGCATGCGCACAGTCAGGTCCCGGCACAGGGGAGAGGTTTCCTGCTCCAAAGCAGAAAGAATGCGGAGGATGCTCTCATGTGAGGAGGGACACTCTTGTCCCCTTTCTCCAGACCAGATGCATAAAGTGTGGGCAGTACCTTTCAATCGACGACCCACACGATCTGGGCACAAACCTGAAAAACCGAGGCTGGTGCTCCATGTTATTTTCTTCTAAGACCCGGCGCCTTTCTCTCTGCAGCTGTTCGATCCTCTGCTTTTGCATTTCAGCTTCTTCTAAGTTCCCTTCTTCTAGAAACCTGAGGCATTGAGGGGAAAAAAATAAAATATTAATTCCAAGGAAACATAACAATTGTTATGTGCATGTGTCCAAGACTAGATATTCAAAATCCTCTCCTATACATAGGAACCCTCCCCCAACTCTTAAAACAGTATTCTGAGGTAGTTATTAGGAAGACAATATTTTTTGAATTGGTAATATATTAATATAGAATTTATAAATTATATCTACAGAAAGGAATTTTGGGCAAAGTCTTCCTTTCTTCCTTGTCTCTAATTCTACCTGTTTCCTGGCCCATCTCCCCCATCTTTACCCTCCCACCTGCTGTTAGTAGCTTCTTGTGCATCCTTCTAGAGATTTCTTACATGTATATATAAGCAAATATTAAGATATAGTTTTACCCCTCCCTCCCTTTTAAAAACATAAATGGAAGCATGCTACACATACTATCTATATCTTGATTTTCCTTTGGTTTACTTTTTACTTCACATGTATCTTGGAGATCTTTCCATGGTAACACACAGACATCTTCATTTTTTAATAGCTATATAATATTCAGTTGTGTGGATACACCTTAATTTATTTAAATAATTTCCTACTGATAGACATTTGGGATGTTCCCAATTTTTTGTTACAATTAATGCTGCAGTGAGTGACCTTGTATATCTGTCATTTTGCACATAGGTAAGTATATATGTAGGAAAAATTTGGAGAAGTGGAACTGCTGGGTTAAAGGTTGAGCTTGTAATTTGTATATCACCCAGCTGCCCTTTATGTGGATTACAGCAATTTACATTCCCATTGGTGAAGTTATGAACACCCTTTTCTCCCACTGCCTCAGAGTATATCAGATTTTAGGACTTTTGTCAATCTGATAGGCTGAGAAATGGTATGTCAGTGTGGTTTTAAAAATTTGCATTTTTCTTATTATGAGTGAGGCTGAACATCTTTTCATATGTTTAAGGGACACCTGCATTTCCTATTTTTGTGAACTCATTTTCTCATGTCCATATCTTCTAACAGGTTAGTCTATTAGATTTCTGGAACCAATTCATGATATGAGTTCCAAATACATATTTCTCAGTTTGTCATTTATCTTTTAACCTTGGTTATACATTTTTATTTACTTTGCCATTAAGAAGGGTTGTTTTTGTTTCGTTTTTTTTTTTTTTTAAATAAAATCAAATGCAGCAATGTTTTTTTTTTTTGGTCGGTGCATTTTGAGTCTGAATTGCAAAGGCATTAGGGGAGAGATTATTATTTCCATTTTACCAAGTAGAAAGCTGAGACTGAGAGAGATTAAAGGACTTTCATGTACCACACAGCTTGTTAGCAGCAAACCTAGAATCAGTTCAATCTCTCAGTGCACCAGAATAATTTAAATTTAAGAGGTCAGAAGAGCTGGATGCTTTTCATTCAGTCTTTCAAATACACAGTAAGTTCTTTATTACTGCATGCTGTAAAACTCTTCAAAATAAACACTGGGGGGGGGATTTCAAAAGAAACGGGGGTCTATTGATAAACAAAGTCCATGCCCCACTCAGATCTAAGCTGGGCTCCACTTCTTGTACGACACGATTGCCTAAATGCCCCTCCGCCTCTCCTGATGACATTACCTGGCTCTCTCGGGTGCCTCTGATGGCCTGGGAGTTGTTAATAAGACTTTTTGTTAGAGGTTTTACATTTCTAGAGAGTAAAATCTTTAAAAAGCCCTTACCTTTGGTCTGGCCTAAATCGAGTGTCAGTAGGTGGTAGTAACGACTTTGACAACGGATCCATTTCATTTAATTCGAGTGCAAACTGTGTGAAGCCATAATACTGCTCATAGCCTTTCGGCATGGGATCTAAAAGGAAAACAAGTCATTCACCCTCACTTGTATTTCATTTATGCTGCATTTTAATTCCTTTACCGTTTTCATTCAGACCAGCTACAATTTTGCTTTCTCAGCTCTAAATTCTTCCATTTCTATTAAAATATTCTAACAAACAGGTGCTGAATATTTCTCTATAAATCTTCTTCTCTATAAGTTTTCTTCTGTCTACAAGATTATGACCTCCTTTGTGTGGTCATATAGCAAATTTATTCAATGCTGGGAAGTTTCTGTACTGTTTAAGCTATGAAAATAATTTGAAATTAAAATAAACATGCTAGAAAGAACTTTGGGTCCATTTTTCCTGACTAGCGAGACTTACTCTAGAGAATCCATTTTTCATTTAAGCAATGTCAAATTCTCCTACAGCTCTAGTACATAGAACAGTGCTAAACCCATAGCAAGTGGTCAATGTTATTCTTTTCTTCCATTCCTGCCCTTGTTTTCACCAACTCTTGCCCCCCAAATCTTAGATTTCTGACTTCAGAAATGAAACTAAACATACCCAAATTTATATATTGGGTAAATTGAATGTAGACCAATAAAATCCACACATGGCCTTAGCTCTTGCTATTCACATATATATAAATGCTTTGCACGAGCTTTTCTGCAGATCAGTTTTTTGAAGCTTCAGACGTCCTTCTCATAACTAGTCTAACTCTCTGTGTATCCTATGCATGAAAATAATAGTAAAGCTTCCTGCTGTGTCTTCAGAAACCCATCCCAGCCCCCCAACACCTAAGAGTGAAGACTGGTTTTTCTTAAAGATGGGCCAGGGACGCTCACAGCCAGTGTAGGGACATAAGATCAATGGATAACAGGAACAACTTAAACAGTGTTCCTTTGTCAAGGTGCTACTTTAACATCCAGAGGGGATGGCAGTTTGCATCTGTGGCCAATACTTTCAGCAAAGGAGGGAGACTATCCTACTTGCAAAATCTCATGTGTGCCCCTGAAGCAGATAGGTGGCCACTGGTGCCAATTCATTCTAGCTTCGTGGCAACCTCTGCAATGGTGGACGCGGTGCTACATGTTGAAAGAGACATCATTGGCTGCCTGCTCTACAGTCACTTCTCTTTTTTACCTGCTACGGGATTACTTTTTCTGTTCTGGCATAACTGTCCCCCATCCCCCTTCCTAAGTGATAAACCCAAGCCCACCAGAATCTCCCCTGCCCATGATTAGCCCAGGGACGGGTTTGGACTCACTTCAGGCTGACGTGATGTAAAGACACACTTGCTGGGGGGATCCTAGGAAATACTACACTCCTGAGAAGAGAGGCACAAGAGAAGGAAGCTCTCTTGTCCTCTCCTTCTTGCCTCCTTGGTGTGCTGCCATGCAGGGATGTGACACTGAATTGTGTCAACTGTGTTACATGCATGAGGGGAGACATCCACGGCACACTGGAAACGTGTCCTTTCTGTTCTGCGTCCTTCACACAGGTAAGTGGCCTATGTAACAGCCCCGGGGCCACCCACTCCCTCACTCACTGTGAAGAAATAGCACATACCCTAATGGTGTCAGCCACTAGCAGGATGGTTTTCTTTGTCATTTGGTTTTTATGAGCCTAAAGCATTCTAACGGTTGTATCTCAGAACAATGGTTTTATAATATGACTATGACTTGGAAAAAAACACATTTCTGAGATTAGAGGAAGGAATAAGGTGTTAAAAGATTGTGGGGATGCACTTTTCCCCACAGCTGTTACAAGGGCTCAGCATCCCTGTGGAATCACAGGAGAGATCAGAATGGTCTATGGTGTTGGGTCAACTGGGGGGATCCCCAATGCTTGCTGAACCCCTAGGTCACTCTTTCTCCAGTAATACTTTTTTCTCTGTTCTTGCTCTAAAATGACTTCTTGCATTTCACTGATATTCTTTCATAGTGCCCAGTATAGTCATATGTATGGACTAGAACATTCTCTCAGAGAATGCCCATGGATTAGCAAGGGCTTCTTTCTGCGGTTAGGAACCCAGGACCTAGCACCCAGCTGAGGTGGTGGGGTAGCAGGATGAGGAGTCTGAGACGTGATTAGATGAAGGAAAGAAGGGCCGATACCTCTGACCTAGTTCACAGCAGGTGGAGGTGGGGGACACCAAATGGACACTGACCCAGCCGCAGCTCCTGTCACGCCCACCTACCCACCCTCTGCCAGGGGCCGATGAACCCAGATACCCACTTGCTCTCCAGACACAGGTGGAGGAGGAGGAGCCTCCACAGTAGATGCTTTCGTGCCATTTCCCGAACAGCCGATGCACGGCCTTCCCGCTCCTGTCAAACACGGTGCCTTCGATCTCGTGGGCGTTAGTGCTCCAGTATTTTGCCTAGGATTCAAATGACAGTTGTCTGTTTAGTACTTCGGTGTCAGATTATTACATATATATTTAATGCACATTATGTTTTGAAATATGTATACATTGTGGAATGGCTAAATCAAGCTAATTAACATATGTATTAACTGACATACTTATTGTTTGTGGTAAGAACACTTAAAAACTACTCCTAGGGCCGGCCCGTGGCACACTCGGTAGAGTGCGGTGCTGATAACACCACGGCCCCGGGTTCGGATCCCATATAGGGATGGCC